ATCACAATACTAATAAGTAATTAATAAAAGTCAAAAGACCAAAGAGGTCACCTTAATACCAAAAAAAAAAAAATATTGCAGAAGAAATTAAAGATGAAATAAAATCAAATTTCTTTTTGATATAGAACATTGATCTTAAAATTTTATTATTATTAGTAATTATCACTATATTACTATGTTTGTCATTTGATTTATAATATACACTTCTATTCTTTATGTATTTATTTAATAGTGCTTATGTGAGTGTTATTAAATAAAACCAGGTTTTGAGCTTTTTAATTTTGTCATTTACTGAATTTATCTTTTAAAAATCTATAAACTTTGTAAGCAAATCAGTTTCTTGATAATGTGCTACTAAGATTAAATTTATAAAATTATAAACAAAATATTTATTTAAAGTAAATAATTAATGCTAAAAAAATCATTAAACATGGCTAAGCCAATAAATATAAGCTTTACAGCTAAAGTCTGATTGTTTTTGACAACTTTATATAAAAGATATAAGAGCATGGGTGCTATAAACATTAGACTTTCAAATTTATTATTAACTTAGCATTATCAATTTAGAATCAACCTAAACTGCTTTAAAATTTGATATCAATTTGGGTTGTATTTACATTTCAACTTAAGTAAATTTTTAATTTACTATAATTCTAATCTGATTTACAACATATAGAATCCTAATTTCTCCTTCTACTTCTGCTTGAATATATGTAAATACTATTTCTTATTGGACAAAATAAATTAAATTACAAAATCTAATATAATATAAAAATAACAAAAAAAATTAAAGTTTTTAAAACTCACCAGTAACTCATAATTTACTTATGAAACCATCTTTTGTACATTAATAAAAAAAATTCCACACAAAATTTTAAAATATTTATGTTTTATTACCTTAATACTAACACCAAAATATGCTTTGTTGTTTTAATATTTTTTTTCGTATATAAGGTTGAGTTAATAGAAATCAAGCAAATCTCTTCTAAGTAAATTTTTTTGAAGCTTTAAACAAAAATAACTTAACAAAAACTTTATCAAATTTATTTTTAAAAATTATATTAAATTTAGTTAAGTTTTTGTTGTTTAAAGTTTCAATAAAAACAATTTGCTTATAGTTTTTTTGGTTACGATATCAGATCAGAATTTTGTCCAATCAGGGACAGGATTTCTAAGCGTCCAATAGGGGAATTAGTAAATTCTACATCTACATTAAATTTTTTTTTGTTTTTTTTTTTGACATTATTTATCAAATTCATTAGCTTAATCACTTTTACTAGTTTCACAAGTTTCATCAGTTTTAACAATTTCGCCAGTTTCGCAGGTTTCGCAAGTTTCGCCGCCTTTCGTCAGTTTAATCATTTCGTCATTTGAAATGCAAATTGACGAAAGTCGAAACTAGGTTTCGCCTAATAACTCTACGTGCGACATAAAGATAATCGTTAAAGTAATCTAAATGTATGTTTTGAATGACTAAAATTTTATGAACTATACCGCATTTACGTCTATGCCAATTTAGGGCGCCTTAATCAATATTTAAATAAACATCGTAGTTTAATAAAGTTTATTACGTAATATATTTTTATTAGTAAATAAATAATAAGTGGATTTATTATTTTAATTTATAAACATTTTACGACAGACCATCATCAGCAAGTTAATTTTTTATAAATTTTATGTAGCCCTATAAAGCTATATAAACATTATATAAAATTTTTATATAGGCCTACAAACCCAATGTAAACTTATATAATAAGAATTTTATATGTAAACTACGTAAGTTTTATATATAATTTTATTCATTATTTATATAAATATAATACCCATATAAAATTTATTTATATTTATATAGAAATGATTTAATTTACTTCAGCTATTTCTCAAAAGTGACTAAGGTAATCGCCGATCGATGCACTAAGTAAAAATGTTTAACATGTTCGAAAACCTTCCCCAAACCTCTAATTTAAACTTTAAAATCTAATCCTAGCTTTAATATTTAAGTCAAATTTTTTTTGTTAATTTACATAATTCTATATAGAAATATATATATATTTATATGAATAAATATATAAATCTACATTGAGTTTATAAAATTTTTGTAAAGCTACATAAAAAATTCTACATAAGTTTACATAAAAACAACTCGAAAAGCATAGGTACGACTGGTCATGTAACTGAACGAATGCTGGCTCGTCAAAGGTGCTGGAAATAAATTCAATTAAAGGACCTGAAGTCCGCAGAATACATTGTAAGTAATTATAGCTAAGTAATTCGAACTGAAAATTAGCAAGTGAGATTGCTCCAGGTATCATCATAACAGTAGAACGAGCGAGAAGCAGCATCAGCCGGTGGTTTCCCACCTGTTCGAAGCAGGCCGGCTGTTAAATAGGTAAATGGCAGAATCAGGTGACTATCATTTGTGGTGGGTCGAGAAACTTGTTTGTCTAAGGCTATTGTGCTGAAGAGGGAGAGAGTGTCGAAAGTGACTTCTTTTATCGGTTCTTTATATATCGATTGCAATCGGTGGCTTGTGATTACATTCTCTGCTTATTAATTTTCTGTTTAGCGATTTATGCGGTTTGACGTCAGCCCATGCCCTTCATTCAATCTAATGGGTGCAGGGGTTGTAGCACATGACGTGTAACCCCTGACCAGTGCAACCCTTTCTTTTCGATCCGTTAACATGCATCGTGATGATCTTTTTTATCCTTGACTTGGTAAAATTTACAATTAATTGAGAATCCAAAAAGATCGCACAAGTAACCTAATAACGAACTAAACGTGTGATAACATTTGATAAAATATTAATGGATCTCTCAAGTATCAATTAAGTAACAATTACAATTCTTATTATAGTAGTAAATAAGCATCATCATGTTTATTAGCTAATCACATAGAGAATGACATTTGATTACTTAATTTGCATCAAAAATTTTACGTAAGTATAATAGAACAGGATGAAACCAGTCGCATTTTATTATGTTTTTTATTATCGTTATCGTTATATAAAAGCGGATTTCACCCTCATGTGATGATCATAGCCGATTTCACACCCTGTAGTAATATGATATTATAGTTGTGCACGATTACGATATTACGATCATGAGCTAATTACGTCGAGGTTGAGGCTTGAGAACGCCTTTAATTTCTTAGTATTCAGTACAAATTTTTAAGATAATAGATACACTACATGATATCGAAATAAATATAATGTGTGTTATTTTTAGTAGAAATTAGATCCTTCAATGTAATTGACTAGTTATTTTTCTCAATCATTTCTCCCGATTCTTAAATTTATAACAAGTAATTTTTAGTCAAAATAACAACAAATTAGCAAATTAAATCATTTTATAAATAATACGTAGAGGGAAAATAGCTTCAGCTCCGAATTAGCAATTAACTACGTGCGTACGTACTGTACGTTGCTCGATAATTACACGAATCTTAAATTAGTTCAATGTAACGGTAACGTTAATTTAAAATAAACTTTACGTACGTATATATGAATAGTACAAATTCGGTTTCTCGTTTTCTCATACGTCTTAAAAAAAATGGGTCAAGGAAATCCGTCGAAATTAAATGAGATGGGATATAATTATCTCAATGGAATTGGAGGTGAAAAGGATGAACATAAGGCATTCATTTATTATCAAATATCTACTGAGATGGGAAATGCTATTGGAACAAATAATGTTGGATATTGTTATGAAAATGGAATTGGAGTTGAAAAGGATGAACATAAGGCATTCATTTATTATCAAAAATCTGCTGAGATGGGAAATGCTACTGGAAGAAACAATCTAGGTAACTGTTATAAAGATGGAATTGGTGTTGAAAAGGATGAACATAAGGCATTCATTTATTATCAAAAATCTGCTGAAATGGGGCACGTTAGTGCAATGAATAGTGTTGGATATTGTTATGAAAATGGAATTGGAGTTGAAAAGGATGAACATAAGACATACATTTATTATCAAAAATCTGCTGAGATGGGAAATGCTACTGGAAGAAACAATCTAGGTAACTGTTATAAAAATGGAATTGGTGTTGTAAAGAATGAACATAAGGCATTCATTTATTATCAAAAATCTGCTGAAATGGGAAATACTAGCGGAATGGTTAATGTTGGAGATTGTTATTTTAATGGGGATGGAGTTGAAAAGGATGAACATATGGCATTCGAATATTATAAAAAATCGGCAGAAATGGGAAATAATGGTGCAATGAGCCAACTTGGATATTGTTATCGGAACGGAATCGGAACACAAATAGATATACAAAAGGCTAATCATTGGTTTCAAATGGAAAGAAACAATTCTCACGAAACGATTAAATCAACTTATGAAAAATTTGATATTAATGATATTGTGAAAAAATTATTAGATGATAATAGATATAAATTAACATGGATTCCTTATAATGAATTTAAAAATATCAAAGAAATTGGACAGGGTAATTTTGCAACTGTATATAGTGCAAGATGGAGAAGAAAAACTAAAGAATATAGTGAAAATGTTACATTTGCGCTTAAAAAAATCCATGATCAAAATTATTTAGACGAGGTATTTTATTGTCATTTTTATAATTCATTATTATTATTATTATTATATTTTCTTTATTAACATACTTTCTTAAAGCTGAAAGCGTACTGTGAAATCGGATACGAGAATCCTTCGTTTTTAAAATGCCATGGTATATCAAAAGATGAAACTGGAAAATATATCCTTGTTTTAAAATATGCAGAGATGGGTTCTTTAAATAAGAATCTTAATTCTATAGCGAAAATGAGATGGAAAGATAAATTGAAATTATTATATTGCATAACTTCTGATCTTGTAGCTATCCATTCTCAAGGACTCGAACATCGAGATTTACATAGTGGTAATATTTTACAAGATGATTTATGTAGCGCGTATATCGCTGATTTAGGGCTTTCTAAAACGAGTAAAAAATTCGGTGTTGAATATTACATTGCTCCAGAAGTTTTGATGGATCATAAAATGTTTACACCAGCAGCTGATGTTTATAGTCTTGGTGTTATTATGACAGAAATATCAACTGGAAAACAAGCTTTTGAAGGTTTAGAATTTATTCCCGGGACACCTAACTGCTATGTTAAATTAGCTAAAAGGTGTATGGATTCCAATCCTAAAAAACGACCTACTGCAAAATCCATTAATTATCAACTTGGATTATGGATAGAGGAAATGTTAAGTTCAGATGAAGATAATGACATCAAAAAACAATTTTTAGAAAGTGATAATACGTTACAAGTAATTAACACAAACAAAAACTCGTCACTAACGAGCAAACCCATTGATACCATCGATATTTCAGAGTAACAAAAATAAATTTATTATTTGACGAATATATTTACTATTTTTATTCTTATTAACTTATGTGGGATATTTTTTTATAAATTAATGACGCAGCTAATGCTAAAATTTGTGCCTATTTTGATATGAAATTTTAAAAATTTTTGAGTGTTTCTTTTCGCTTTTATTTAGAATTTTTGGGTAGAATTGATAAATAAAGGTTATATGCGGGTTTTAGTAGCTTATATTTTCAAATTGAGATCCCAAATTTCAGCATCAGTCGCCAAATTATTATTAACAAATACAAGGATCGTTGAAATGTGCGTTAAGTGATAGAGTAGCTTACGATGCAACTTACATTATAAGCTTCATAGTTTGACTCTACCATTACCAACCTAAAAAATTTTGCTAGAAAAGGTTCTATTATTTATTATGTTAAGGTTAAGGTTTTCGTTATTAAGTTCTAAAGCTATGGTATTTTATTACATGTTGCTCTGTTTATACCGACGTCTAGACATAACATCATCATAGTAAAATATTTCTATACTGACATTTTTGTCAAAAATTTAATATAAAATGTCGGTATAACTTACTGTATCGATATTTTTAATCTTTTACTAATGAAAAAAATTGTCGATATATCCAGGCGGCAGATGGTAGGTTTAACCCATTTTTTATTTTATCTTTTCGCGAAATATTTTAAGGTGGCAACAGGATCTAATTAGCCAAAATTTTAACCAATCAAATTGAAGAATTTGTATATATCAAAGAATGTAGTCCAGGAACGTAGTAATGTAACTACGAAGTGTATGGTTAACTGTAGAGAAGTCTGCAATAAAACATCTAATCCACTCCGGAGCATTTCAGAAGTAGGCTATATGTACTATTTATTTCCCGCAGCGGTGGGAAATAAGGGTGTTATTCTTCGTTTTATGTGACGTCATGACGACGTTTTTCGACTCAAATAACTTTAGTCAGTACGACAAAAATATGGCTATAGAAAGATAATTGCCAACCTAATCTTTGCTTTAATAACACAATCATATTAAAGAAATTTAAAAACTTCGTCTTTAATTACAGTCAGACCTTTCTAAATGCATAGCCATGGGCGGTCAAAAAACCTTGCATTTAGAAAGGTATTGCATTTAGGGAGGTAAAAATCTATAAGTGTCATATGAGTTGGGGACAAACAAGGCCATGCACTTAGAGAGGTCTTTCATAGACTATGCATTTAGGGAATATGCATTTAGGGAGGTCTGACTGTATAATGATACTATTACGCTGACTAAGAGAATTACAGAAGTTCTTTGCTCTAAATAACTATCGTGTTCTATCAAGAATTTTAAGAACTTCATTTAAGTAGTACTATTGTAATGGCTAACGGATTTTAAAACTTTCGTCAAGGATAAACCATTATGCAAACTAAAAATAATTATCTTCAAATCTTATAATATAAAAATTTAAAGTTCACCTAGGGAAATAACAAGAAATGACGGGGAAATAACAACTATTGCTTTAAAATTGGTTGCTTTTACTGATTAAATCAGAGATTATAAGTCGAAACCCCCCATCATGCGATCATATAGAAACGTAGAATAATAAAACTTATAGTCTGGAGTACTCCCTAGCTAACTACTATCTAAAATGCCGTGTGTGCAAATCCATGATTTTAATTAGATATTTATTAAAAATATAAAACATATTGAAATTTATATGCGCACATATATCCACTAATTTATATCTCAACCCAAGTTATATCCCCAATATATAGCGGATGAAATATCCTATATTTATAAAATTTTTGTCAAAAACTCTATTGGTTTAACTGTATAAGGTCACGATGATTATGATTATTTTTACAAATACATAATGGTTCCTATATATATAAGGTCACTTAAAAAAAAGGACATGTGTAGGGACTTATGAAAACCTGTACGTACATGAAAAATCTGTACGTACTACTTGAATGTGTGCCAGGGTAGGATTAGGAATTAGAGGGGAGTAGTTTATACACTAAAATTTCCCAACGAAAACTTTTTGTTAGAGCATTGAAGGTAGTTTCTTATGCTGATTTTTGAGAAATAAGTAATTTTTGAAAAACCGAATGTTGTTTTGAATTTTCTTGGTTCCAAATCTGATCATAGTTCTAGATACATTAAGAGTAGAATACAACAACATTTCTAAATTATATATAAATTTTATTTCAATTTTCTTTTATATTTAATTTTTGAAAACAAATATTGAGTAAATAATTTTTAACTCTTAAACAAAAGTTGTAGAGTAGATCTTTTTGATTCTAATAATAGTAAAATTATTAAAATTGGTTAAAAACTCATTAAGGTATGAATTTTTTTTAAAATATATTAAAAGTGAGATCATGTCTTTAACTTTATTAAAATTCAAATAAAGTTTTTATAAAGAAAAGCTTGCTTTTAAATTACATATGAAGAATAAAAACTTAGACATATTATCTGTGAATTTTCAAACATCAAGATATAAAACTATATAATAAATTAACCTGTTGATTTACGTAAATTAACCAATCAAAATCTTCGATTTTGTACTACCTAGACAAATTTTATTAATAGTTCAAAAATTTTTTTGTACTCTACCCTTTTGATTGGCTAACGGCCGTGGATCTGGCCCGCATTACATAATTGTTTACTAATTTCTGGTCAGAATTAACTTTTTAACTTTTAAATTCCAAAAATAGAAATATTCAAAGAAATAAACTCGCATAATGGTAAAATTAGCCCAGGAACAATTTTCACTTAATGGGTGGTTATGATTTCTTTAGTCAAATTTTGAGTAATTTCGGCCAAAATTTTGATCACTCTGGGATAATAATGAATTTTTTTTAGATAGTCAAAATTTAAATAGATGCATAAATGTCGTGAAGCAAAGTTAGAATGCCATTCTTTATTTAAACATGAAAAAAAATTGGTTTAGTATGCTATGATTTGTTTCTTTAAAAAAAGGCATGAACAAAGGGCTTGATTACTTTCGGCTCTATAACTTTATTTGTAGTGATGTAATACTGATCTTCGCGAAGTTTTATCCAAAACTATCGAGCCCATGATATCACAAATGAAGCATTTAATCAAAAAACCGAAGTAAAAATCCTTAAATTGAGTGATCCGCAACATATCATGCAACATAGATGTTAAAAGTGAATTAGCAATATCAAGAATCGTGAGAAATGATTGAGAAAAATCACTAGTAAATCACTAACAAATTACATTGAAAATAACACACTTTATCAATATTTTTTATTATTTTAAAATTTTGTACTAATTACTAAAAAACTTGACATTGATGTAAATGCAATTATATTCTGGGCGCCTTAATCAATGGGACAAAATGTGTAGATGAATAAAGTTTATTCAGCGAAAAATATTTTAAGGGGATCAAATATTTAAATAAACATTGTCGTTTAATAAAGATTAATATACTTTTATTAGTAAAAAATAATACGATAGTTTATTACTGTATTTAAATTTACATCCATTTTAGGTTTACAATCAATTGAGTATTCAAAAAGATATTAACGAACTAATGTAGTGATAACAATTCTTATTTTGATTGATTATAATAAATGAGCATCGTCACGTTTACTAGCTAATTGCATAGAAAATAATGTTTAATTTGCTTATATAATTATAGTTACGATCATGAGATAATCACATGACTTTGTAGTTCATAGAATTTTTGTCCATATCGATATTTACTTTATAACGATAATAAATAATTTTTAGCCAAAACAACAGCAAATTAGATCATTTTATAAACCATATAGCGATAGAGGGAAAATAGTCCGAATTAGTAATTAACTACGTGAGTACGTATGTAAAGCGATAGTGTTAGTTACACGAATCTTAAATTAGTTCAATGTAACGTGAATTTTAAAATATACTTTACGTACGTACGTATGTGCATACATATGAATAGTACAAATTCTGGTTCTCGTTTTTTTCATACGTCTTAAAAAAATGGATCAAGAAAATGAGTCCAACTTGAATAAGATGGGATTTAATTATCTCAATGGAATTGGAGTTGGAAAGGACGAACGTAAAGCATTCATTTATTATCAAAAATCCGCTAAGATGGGACATGCTAGTGGAACATATAATGTTGGTTATTGTTATCGTAATGGAATTGGAGTTGAAAAGGATGAATATAAGGCATTCATTTATTATCAAAAATCTGCTGAGATAGGGAATTCTGATGGAATATTAGCACTTGGTAACTGTTATAAAGATGGAATTGGGGTTGAAAAGGATGAACATAAGGCATTCATTTATTATCAAAAATCGGCTGAGATGGGTAATGCTAATGGAATAAATAGTATGGGATATTGTTATCATAATGGGATTGGAGTTGAAAAGGATGAACATAAGGCATTCATTTATTTTCAAACATCTGCTGAGATGGGGCACGTTAGTGCAATGAATAGTGTTGGATATTGTTATCGTAATGGAATTGGAGTTGAAAATGATAAACATAAGGCATTCATTTATTATCAAAAATCTGCTATGATGGGTAATTTTGATGGAATCTATAATCTCGGTGTTGCTTATTATAATGGAGATGGAGTTGAAAAGGATGAACATAAGGCATTCATTTATTATCAAAAATCTGCTGAAATGGGGCACGTTAGTGCAATGAATAGTGTTGGATATTGTTATGAAAATGGAATTGGAGTTGAAATGGATGAGCATAAGGCATTCATTTATTATCAAAAATCTGCCGACATGGGAAACAATTGTGGAATGTATAATGTTGGAGATTGTTATGAAAAAGGAGTTGGAATTGAAAAGAATGAACATAGGGCATTTGAATATTATAAAAAATCTGCAGAAATGGGAAATAATGGTGCAATGAGTCGACTTGGATATTGTTATCGGAACGGAATCGGAACACAAACAGATATACAAAAGGCTAATCATTGGTTTCGAATGGAAAGAAACAATTCTCACGAAACGATTAAATCAACACATGAAAAATTTGATATTAATGATGTTGTGAAAAAATTATTAGATGATAATAGATATCAATTAACATGGATTCCTTATAATGAATTTAAAAATATCAAAGAAATTGGTCGGGGTTCCTTTGCAACAGTATATAGTGCGAGATGGATAAGAAAAACCAAAAAATATAGTGAAGATATTACATTTGCGCTTAAAAAAATTCAGAATCAAAATTATTTAGACGAGGTATTTTATTGTCAACTTTTTTTTATTCATATTATTATTATCTTTTCTTTGCTAACATACTTTTCTTAAAGCTGAAAGCGTACTGTGAAATTGGATACGAGAATCCTTCATTTTTAAAATGCCATGGTATATCAAAAGATGAAACTGGAAAATATATCCTTGTTTTAAAATATGCAAAAATTGGTTCTTTAAATAAGAATCTTAATTCTATAGCGAAAATGAGATGGAAAGATAAATTGAAATTATTATATTGCATAACTTCCGATCTTGTAGCTATCCATTCTCAAGGACTCGAACATCGAGATTTACATAGTGGTAATATTTTACAAGATAATTTATGTAGCGCGTATATCGCTGATTTAGGACTTTCTAAAACGAGTAAAAAATTCGGTGTTGAATATTACATTGCTCCAGAAGTTTTGATGGATCATAAAATGTTTACACCAGCAGCTGATGTTTATAGTCTTGGTGTTATTATGACAGAAATATCAACTGGAAAACAAGCTTTTGAAGGTGTAGAATTTATTCATGGGACACCTAACTGCTATGTTAAATTAGCTAAAAGGTGTATGGATTCCAATCCTAAAAAACGACCTACTGCAAAATCTCTTAATCATCAAGTTGGATTTTGGATAGAAGAAATGTTCAGTTTGGATGACGATAATGAAGTCAAAAAACAATTTTTAGAAAGTGATAATGAAGTCAAAAAACAATTTTTAGAAAGTGATAATTCGTTACAAGTAATTAATACAAATAAAAACTTGTCTCCAATGAGCAAACCCATTGATACCGTCGATGTTTTAGAATAAAATAATAATATATTTTATGAATATATTTACTCTTTATTTTTATTAACATACTGTATGTGGGATGTTTTTTATAAATTAACAGTTTAATAAATACAGAGATCGTTCGTAGTTTATAATGCAACTTACATTGTAAGCTTCATAATTTGACCCTAACATTACCAATCTAAAAATTTCGCCAGAAAAGCTTCGCTATTGTATATTATGTTAGGATTACTTTTTCGAAAGTTTTAAGGATATGATAATACCAAAATTTCGCAAAGAAACTTTTTAATAGTATGCAGATGGTAGTTTCAGACTGTTGTCTTTTCGCGGTGTATTTGTCCTAAAATTTGATTGGCCCACGAAATCTTTTAGGATGAAGGGATGGCAATTGGCAAAATTCTTATATTTCAGGTTAAAAGAACCACCAATTAAATTTAAGTTTGACTATTTTCAAATAATAACAATCATTCACCTTATCGAACTCAGTCTTGTAAAAATTAATCCCAAAATGATTACAGCTGTTTTCATAAATTCTGAAACAACTGATAAAAAATTACTGGGTCGAATTCGATAAGTTTTTGAATTCGATGTTATTGGAATTAGATTTTCGACATTACAGTAAATTTATATCTATTTAGTCGACTAAATCTTATAGCCGATTCCTATCCCTAGCTAGGGTACTCGTAAATGCGACAAATACGTGTAAAATTGACCGTTCTCGTCACTTGATAAGATGTGCTTTTGATCATCAAATGTAGAAATTATATGATATGATCTAGTGACTTTTTTTAAAATCAAGAAAAATGAGTTCTAGAACTAATCACAGAATCAGATTCTTCGTGCCAAATCCGACAAGGTGACTCAAATATGATTTATGTTAAAACTACCAAGATCAATTACATCATCGGCATTTAAAATTCCGATTACAGCATTCATACGGTTAATATTCAATGCATAATCAACCAAGTAAAGGTGAATAATTTTTTTTTATAAACCAAAACTTTGTGCAAACTCAAAGTTACTATTTTCCTATCCCATTAATATCATTAGAAATGCTTATTGTTATAGAAACACTTTAAACGAGAAGTAATGAATAAATGATATAAATTGTTTTTTTTCTAAAAACAAAAACAAGAGCATTGAGAAATAAAAGTTAATTAAATTATTTTTTGAATTAGATTATAAGGTGTGTTATATACGAAATTACATTTTTTTTACAATTCATGAAATTTTATGTAACGTAGGGAAGCGGTCAGACTACTTAACATCCTAACGTAACGTCATGTAAAGTGCCGATGTTACAAAAGGTTTAATCTTGCCGTTTGATGATCCGCAATGTAGCACCGCCATCAGTGATTGCAGTTAATTTGATAAAATCAGCGAATGTTTAGAAAATTGCATATTTTATATATTTGACATGGTGGGCTAAGCCAACTTTTAATTTCAACTTTGTCGAGTTAATCAATTTAGGTCGACGACAAACATTATGTGTTTATTGAAGTAACTTTGTAAATTAGTGTTGTTAATTTTTTATTTGTTAATATTCGGGTTGTGTTTATACATTACAGCATACATGAAGTTAATGTGTTCAGAATCGATATACATATATATTGTACCTCGAATTGGACAGTCCCTGATGAAAATTTTGTAATTTTTGCCCGAATTATACTAGCCACAATTAAAATTTTTTATTATAAACATTAACCCACCCTAAAGTCTTATTGCGCTTTGCAAAAAAAGATAACCCCACAATTTTCGTGACAACGATAATGGGAAATTTCGGAGATTCTAAATAGTCTATCAACCATATATTCAATCAGTAATATTTCTATCTATTTTGAAATCTGTAAAATTCTCTTAGAATCGGAAAATCGCCAATTTCCCGTGATTTTACATGTTATCATGATCTGTGAGGGCCACACTTTTTTGCAAAGCGCAATAATTCTGCCAAAACGATTCACGAGATTCCCATGCGGGCAGCCCGATTCAGAATCGGATCGATTCCAATCTGAGTACGACTAGGGATGTAATTACTTTGTTAGTAAATTACATTGTAACTTACAAAATTACACAAAACTTAGCCAGCACTAATAGATATCCATTATTATGTTTGGAATTGTAATTTTAATAATACCAGCATTATAAAAATTTTTGCAAAAAATATTCACATGATAAAAATTACATGTAACTTTGATTTCAGAAACTTACGGTAATTTTCCAACCCTAAATAAATTATGAATTCAATGAAATTATTATAAGCTTTTTAAATGCTTCGTCGTCTTTTTTTTTGTTCGAGTCATGAAGTTGATCTGTGATTCCTGTTTTTCTAATAAGGGACACCGTGTGTCTATTGACGTGTCATTACTTTCAAAGATCGTAGTTAAATTATATATATATAGTCGATACTGTCTAATTGCATGCCATCCGTCAGAGACTTTTTTATGCATATAGACAGTATATGCATTTAAATTATAAATTCATTTTTGTGTTAATAATTAAAAACCAAAGTTTTTTATGTATTTAGAGAGTATATATGATTTCGATCTTTCTTTTAGTTATTTCATCCATTTTTCAGCGTCCACGAATCCGGTTCGAGGTAGTTTTTAATTAATTCGATGTCTTCATATAATCTGTTGATGTAAATATTAAGTTGAAAATTTAAGTATATATTTGAAATTTAAGTACTGTATTCGTTCGTGGCCGTATCGTTGATATCTTTGTTAATGCTAATCAAAAATGTAGATTTATGAAAAACTTCAATTGCTAAATGAAATTATTTTCGTGCATGAGCAAAATCGGACAGTGTAAGTATATATAAAAAGTCGGAACTATCATAACTAGAATTACCCGTTTACCCTAAAGGATTACTATCTACATGAACATATGGGTGACGCCAAGAGGAAACCAGGAATTCTAGAAATAGATTTCTATCCACAGCGAAGTTGCGGAATTTTTAATCGATTCGATGATGATAACACGTGATTAAAGAACGTTATCATTATCGAATTGATTAAAACCCCACAACTTCGCTGTGGATAGAGAAGAGACTGAAAGTCTTAAGAAAAGATTAAAAGAGAATGAAATTATTGTCGAAGAAGTCTGACAGAGGATACATAAACTTTAACGTGAGGTAAAGAACTGGCAGCAAAAGGTAAATGGATTACTTCGTGATATGGAAAACATCTTCGCAAAAGGGTTTGTGATGTCCGTCAAGAAAGACACAGTTTGTAATCAAATTATAGCAAATAAACAAGAAAAATACGAAATCTGAATAAAATATTAAAAGTCATAAGTCAAATGATGCATGAATTAGAATAAAGGTTATACCCGGTACAAAATTTAAGCTCCGGAGTTTACAAAATTATTAACCGGAATATAAACAGGGTCATCTTAAATAACCGTTTATTTGATTGGCTAATGCAAAATCAGGAATCACTTGTACATGGTCTTTAAAGAATTGATACGACACCCTCTCACGTAAAGTCCTCCGGGTTTAAGATTCGAGATTCATTTGCGACAAAATAGTTAAAAAGCATAAAAATCGAGCCCTGCACACAAAAGAAAATGAATTAATCTGTTAACAAAAGTTCCTATAAAGTATCAGGTATAAAATGTGTCGCGTATGCACATACGTACTTCGCGTTTAACAGTTAATGCGCATTATCGCTTTCATGGATGATTAATCCGGATCACCCGGTTAGTGATAACTATGACCCGATTAACATGTGTCAACCGGGTTACCCTGGTAACTTTTATACGGGTACAAACTCTAAATTAGAAAATATTTGTCCGGAGCGTAGCAGGGGACGCTGTTTTTACGAGAGCAAGTGACCACCACTGATTTTGATTGGCTGATTGACTGAATATATGGGGGTTTCAGTGTCAGTGAAAACCATGCAAATTGTTTTTAATAAGTTTTTTTAAAAAAAAATTTAAATAAAAATATTTTTATAACTATGTAGAATTAAAATAAAACCATTTTTATCAAGTATAGTTTAATAGTTGTTGAGATATTTTAATTCAAAGTTTTACAAACAATTTGCTTGGTTTCTACTAACACCATATAGGATAGCTTTCTTCTGATTGGTCAATCGCTTACAATTGTATTTATACAGTTTAAAGTATTTTTTAAGAATGCAAGTACAAAATAAAAATTAAACTCACCGCTATCTTCGAAGAAGTGCCAACAGTCACTATGCAAAATAATCCCTCACCTAGAGGTACCTTACCTAGAGGGTGAAATTTCTACATAGATCAGTGACTATAGAACTATATGTAATTACTAAATCGTTAAATACAGCTGAGTTATTTAAAGAAAACTAACAGTACAAACGCTTTTTTTTTAACAATAGATAAGCGATTCTAAGCTATGTTAAAGAGGTTTTAAAGCATAAAGAATGTTAATACATAAGAATAGAGTTAGTAATAAGAGTGGTTAAACCTTTATATATGTGTATATGTTACATCTAAAATAGAGATTACTCTAATGAGTCTTATCATAACGAGCTTTGGGTATAATAAACGATAGATCCTTAAACACTAGACCTATTTTTTTTCTTTATTCTTGTGTTAAAATAGAGAATACGAATATGATATAATTTGATTGGTTGATTGTCAAATGTTTCACAATTAGCCAATCATAACGTGGTATCCAATTTCATGTAAAGAGAAAGTTATCCTACGTATATACTGACACTCCATATGATCACCCAAATACTGATATGTAATAAGCTCCGGACACATAATGCTACGCATTACCTAGTGCATCTGCTTAGAACAAGACGAGATTTGCATTCATAGGCAGAAGTTTGTCTGATTGGCTAATAAATTCAATTTAATTTTACATTATTTATACAGTTTAGAGGACTTTTTTAAAAAAAAGAAAACCAACCACAATAAAGTAAAAAAAACATATAGAAGGTTTCATTAGGCTGTAGGACTCCATAGCCAAAAATAAGATCTAATTCTCGTCCGCTTAAAAAAGTTAGTATAGCAATAACTTCTCAAAACCCGATAAAATCAACTTATTACAAAGCTAATTTTTTTAAACGGACGAGAATTAGATCTTATTTTTGACTATGGAGTCCTACAACTCTAATGAACCTTCTATATGCTTTTTTTTTACTTTATTATGGTTGGTTTTCGTTTTTTTAAAAAGTACTCTAAACTGTATAAATAATGTAAAATTAAATTGAATTTATTAGCCAATCAGACGAACTTCTGTCTATGAAATTTGCATGGCACCTTTTTTTTCAACGGTTGATCAATTTAATCAATAAATAATTAATTGGTTTTTAATCGATTTTTAATAATTTCTAATTGTTTATATCATTTGTATCATTGAAATTAAAAGGATGATGAAAATTTTAATTGGTAGTTCGCTTTGCAAGGATCGCTTTTGTAACTAACAAAAATTTTCCCCGTACAGTTTTGCTATACTATAGCGCTTTATAACCACAACTTACACCCGAACCCTAACATAAATTAGTTCTTTTGAACAAATTGTAAATTCGAATTGACCTTTATAAGTATAAATTTCTTTGTTAGTTACTATTATACCCAGAACTACGTTTTATAAGCCCGGTATAATTTATAACAATTGCCGTGATTGTGCTTAAGTAAAATATAAGGTTTATTGCAATTACGCGTTTAAGAGGATTTAAGTGATTTGCAATTACGAAAGAGGCAAACAGCTAAGTGTATATGAAAATACAAATAGTCATGTAACAAGTTTATGATTTGATTCAATAAAGTATTCCCGATTCCTCTTTATTTATTGTTGAGTTTTTTTGACTATTGCTTTACAAGAGAAATAGCGGAGCTTTTAATACATTTGAAAGCATTATGATCACTAGCTACTAATTCTACTATATTTACTATATCTAATCGGACTAACATTTCTATTATGACCAATATCTCCAATAGAACTAATAGAACTTGGCATTTGTAATATTATACATTACTATTAAATATCATATGATGTTAAATTACAGGGATCAACATTACTATATTTAAATAAATAGACAATGATGTTATTATAATATTAATATTGTTTCATTATCATAAAAGTTCAATAATCTTTCAAGATAGAAAGAAAAAACATCCAAATATTGAATTAAATTTCATACCTATTCAAAAAATAGTATATGACAGTAAATATTTTAAATAAAAAAAAAACTTTTTCTGCAATATTAAATTTAAATTTGAAGTTTACGTATATTAAAAATAAAATAAAAGTAATTTGATTCAAAATTTGAAGCAATATCAATTAAGTTCTTAAATGAATAATTTGACTAAATAAAAAACTTCGATTATTCCTTTTCATGACTTTGTAAATCTTATGTTGGTGTTCAGACGAATTTTAAGCAGCACTTACGTACGTAAGTATATGATTTTGTTAGCGAGTTTAGCAAGGTGTCGTCTTGGTGTCACTCAGGGTGGTAAATTGTTTATTGCCATCTTGTCTAGATCAATTGTATTCTGCGAAATCAAGTATTATACCCTTCGTGCCAAATATTGTAGATCTTATTTTTTGAATCCTTGTTTTATACTAATGTGACGAATATTATTTTTGATATCTATTTATCAGATTAGACATAGGATATCTCTCCTTACGAGGGTTCAAAATATTGTTTTTATTGGTCAAATAAATTAATATATCTAAATTATATATAAATTTATATAAAAAAATGGTTTAATTAAAATTAATTTAAAAACAGAGAATATTTTAACTTAAAACTTTAAATATATATTCTTCAATATTTTATAATTTTTATATATAAATTTTGAATAATAGTTATAAATAAAATCTTATGAAATATTATAATTTAAAGTTGATATATTCTTTGTTTTAATAACCTTTATAAAATTAAGCAAAAAAATTAACCTATTTAAATAATTACATAATTAGTTAATCTTTTGAAAATTAAAAAAAAATTTATTAAACAAAAGGTTTTAAATAAAGTTATAAAAAAAGTTCTAATTTTAATGATTAGTTGATCAAAATCGGCTTGGCAGATTCCAAGACATTTTTAAAGTTAAAGATATGAATATAAGATTTACAAATTGCTAGTTATACAAAGTATTTAAATAATACTCATTAAGTTAATTTTGATAATCTAACCCAAAGGTGATATTATTATACTATAGTAAACTATCAATTATTAAACACTAAAAATAAATTATATATTTCGAAATGCATATATTTTTACATATTCAGCACTTAAAAAATTCTACAGTATATTTGTATAATTATACTATATTATGTTTATAAAATATATAAAATATATAAAATATATAATTTTATATCTAGTTTTATTACAAAACTATCTTTTAAAACATTTTGAATCTTTAATCTTATTTATAATTTGCAGTAACTAAATTTTTATTTAGCAAATTTCAAAACGGTAAATAAAGTCAATTATATAGTAATTGCTTAATAGCGATATATTTTATAAGAATTAGTTATATTATATGATTTATACAATTTGTATAAAATTATTATCCTTAATCTGACAACTATTAAAACCAAAAAAAAACTTTTTCTATAACTTTATTTAAAAGATTATTCTAATCAATCATATAATTATTTAGATAAGTCGGATTTTTGACTTAAAGAACATAGTAAAGAATTTATCAACTTTGAATTGAGATCTTTTTAAACCTATTTAGTGGTTAAGTTTGTAACTTTTAACAAAGAACATAAAATGTTAAAAAATATATGGGCTGTCTTCAATAGAAATCAAGCAGAATGACATTTTTTAAAAAATAAATGCCTTAATTTTACAGCTCATATTTTGATGAATTTTGAAGCTATTCTCGTGAATAAATAGTCAAATGAAAGCTTAAGATCTAAGCTTTCTATTGGTTATTCAATCACGAGAACAGCTTCGAAATTCATTGAGATATGAATAGTGAAAGTTAAGGCATCGATTTTTTTTAAAAAATGTCAACCTGCTTGAGTTCTATTAACGATAACCCATATATTTAAAGGTTAATGCTAAACTTAATATCTACTTTTTAATAAAATTAGAATTTTTTTTACAAATTTTATATATAAAATCGAGGTACGTCATCTTATTTGACCAATAAGTATAACACTCAAGAAAAGATATCCCATTGGGGTATTCGGTCGGTCACCTATGTTTGACAAAACTATATGCGGTACCATATTGTTTGAATAGGATAGTGATCAGGATTATTTATCACTTTTTGTATATTCTTTAATAGTAAATGATGATTTGCATGTTTTTATATGTTTAGAGTGAATCGCTTTACTTTTTTCGATTAATATGGATGTTTGGATAATTATTCAATGATTTCACCTTCTATAGTCGACGAATTAATTAATTAATTATTGTTCATATAAATTTCTAACTTCTATTAATCAGTTAATCAATTTTTATTCAGTTGACTAACAATTTTAGTCGACCAATTAATCGACTAAAAATTTTTGCCCAATTCCAAATCCTTTTAAAGAACGTTTTACAGTTTTATTAAATTACACAAAATATCACATGATTTGTATAAATAATGTTTGACCTAAAGTCAGTCTCAACCTAAAAATTAAAAAATTGACATGCCGAATCTCTTAAGTTTTACCAACATTGACTCAGGAGACTCTGACTGGTTTTCTTTAACCTAGAGTTTGTTCAATCCGAATTTAGAAAATTCGCCATTTGATTGGCTACGGCTTCCAATTGAACATTTACTCGATTAGAAATTGGATAAACAATTATAAAAAATACAATGCATATAATAAAATTATGTTATATTCACTATCCCAAAAACCAAAAATAGAATTTGCATTGTTTTGTCTTAAAACTACATAACTCTAATTATATAAAAATCTAATAAAATTGGTTCTAAAAATATATACATGCAAATGTACGTCTCTAAATAAAAGTCTAAGGAATAAAAAAATGTTCCGCTGTTATAAGATTATATGAGATTTGATGAATAAAAAGAAAGAAAATTTGCTAAATCTCAGTGTCAACATGAGTTTTCTAAATCCGATTAAATACTATTATTGAACCATCAACTGTATCGATATTCTGTATATCAAAAAGGTCATCGAATATGTAATTAAAATTTCTGTTCGAGAGGTTGGATAATATGTTTTGGAAATCGCACACTAAACATATAATCATGACGTCTAAAAATGTAAAAAAATAACAGGATAATTAACTTCCTTATAGTATAACTAAATTTTTTAAATATTTGAACTAAAGAATAAAACCTACTTTTCAAGGATAATTTCCCACGTATCAGGATTAATCCTCACAGGTGTTTCTCGAACACGGTCATCAAACATTACATGGTATCCCCGTTCTGAAAGAACGTCCATGATCATGTCAACAAGATGTTGATTTTCAAGTTGGTGAGAAGTTCTAAGGTGTACATAAATTTTTAATATGATGAACATATACAGAATACAAAATAGTATATATATTAGAGCTCATACGTTCGAATAAGAGCTTGTCCGCTGATAGCGTGGCGTTGAACCGTTGGGATAACATTATTGTCAACGAACTCGATTGCTTTCATAAAAAGTCCTGGTTCAGTATCTTGGTAATGTTCAAGTCGACTAATTAAATCTTGTCGAGCATGAACACCGATTTTTGTTGCGATTGGGATATGTGCGATTGAATCGTAGGTCTTTTGATCTAAAATGAATAATGTTCATTGATATTAATAGTGGAAAGTATAGATAAAAATATGAATTTGATAAATATGTAACGTACCAAGTTCGAGAGAACTTTGGTACTCAAATTCTTTTAGAATCAATCGCATAACCTCTTCAATCGATCCAATGGCATTGATGAGATCTATGAATAAATAAAATTTAAGTATCTGAACTATTAAATTACAACATTTATTATTTTTAACTTACGGAAAGGGAAAAGTTTTCCAAGCTTCATCAAAGCTCCAAAATGTTCCCTGAATATTTGATAACGTGCTCTAATCAACTATAGTAATATACTATAATGATTATTATGTTGACCAGATATACAAGCACAAATAAATACACTTCAACCCAGTACTAACCAATTCATCATAATCCGTAACTCGCTCTTCCATAAGCTCTCCCTGTCCCGTTCGTCGAACTACAGCATTATGTTCTCTGATTTGTAGTCCTCGCTGCACTTGGCGAGTGACAGAAACTTCTTCGTCAACGTATAACACACAGATACGAAAAGTTGGACGGCTATGTGATTGTCCATTTTCGAAAATCAATATTTTGAATTATTCAAATAATTTTTTTAATGATGATATACATACGGGAATTTATCTTGTAATGGAGTTCCCCAGAAATCTCGACGCAATTCATGCATCTTATCATAAAGAAGTTTCAGACATTCCACTTGAATATCTGTACGAGGGAACCCATCCACAAGGCAACCCACTGTTGGATCACAATCAAGAAGTGCACGTAACAAATTCTCAAGAACCTTTCCATCACCTATTAATATAATTGTTTAATTGAACATCATAACTATTAAAATGGCTTAATTCTCAGTTTAAAGTAAACACGCACTAATCATTTTGCCCTTATTTATTAACTCTTGACAATCTGGCGTTGTTAAAAGAGCCGACATGCAGATCGCAGGATTGGTAATACCACGCGCTTTTAAAATCAAATCTGTATGCGTCCCTTTGCCGCTACCAGGCGCACCCATTAACCAAATAATCTCTCTTGGAAGACTAAATTCATGAATACATTAATATTACTCGATTTAATAGTTAAATTATATATATATATGCGCGTAATTTCTTACCAAAGATTTTCTCGACCATATGCGTCCTCAACATTTTTCCAAGCCTGATTAAATATGAGTTTTGCATTTTTAATTTCATTTATTCTGAATTATATATATATATATATTAGCCGTATAATTCATGAACAATTTAATGCTAAGATGGTGAACGAATTTTGACAAGTGTTTGACAAGGTTTAGATATAATTTTATACGACAAAAACCTTGTCAAGAACTGTCAAAATTGTAAAACCTGTCCAAAAAAACATCATTAGACTAAGGTGTCATACCTTTGTCCTTCATCTTCTGTTAAATGTTGTTCCCCATTGGTCAAGGCTGGTGATGTAACAATTTCTAATTAAAAAAAAAAAGATTGGCATTAGATTGTAAATTGCAATTTATATAAATCGGATCGGATATATATACTATAAAAAGTTTATTAGTACCATTAACCCGAGCAGTTGCTGTAGGTAAATTTCGAATTGCAGTAATATTGGGGCGTATTTTCGGAATATCGACAGTTGATGGCCGTTGATAAATTCTATCGTTTCCTGCTAACGACTTAGTGGTTTTAGACTTATCGGCAGTAGGCCTCGTGCTAGAATTGCCAATACCTTGTTTAAGTGTTGAAGAAGAAATAAAAAACTTATTTCGTTGTGATAAAGTGATTCTCTTCGTGTTTTTTAAGACACTCTGAGAATTAAGGAATGAAGGCATTGTGCGTGAGGAAAAACTACGACTCATGTTAGATGAGGCGTTCCTTACACACGATGTAAGGTGAGAAGGTTTTAAAACAAAAGACGAAAATCTAGACATTTCTTTCAAAGAAATGATATCTAATATTCGAAACGTAGGTTAAAAACAAATTATGTTTAATTCTAGTGGCTTTATGAAATTCCTCACGCTAGCACGAGGCTATGCCAAAGCCAAAAGAAAAAGAAATAATATAATGGATAATGGTACTGTAATGGATATTTTTGGATCTCTTAATCATATTATAACAGAGAAACTAATGCTATAACCATTTTTGGAAACAAACGTAAGCATTTGAACTTTCATTTACATTTGAGTTTCCATATTAGATATTGAAGTGTGTAATTAGAACTATATCATGATCGATTATTGATCGAGTAGGAATTTGTAGACTCGATTGAATTTGATCGATCAAGAAAATTTTCATAGGCCATGTAAAATTACTTAATTGGTTTTCATAATCCGGCCGGATCAAATTTTTGAAAAAAAATTTTATGTTTTAATGACCAGGTAGGTTTTAAAAAAAAATTTATAAATGTTTATATATGAGATTAAAAAAAAAAAGCTGGCCGGCCGGGTCTATTTAAAAGTTTCATATTATGAAAACCAATTTGTGTGACCTTATTATTTTATTTTATTTTATTTTCTCTAGTATATAAGATATAATCGATCAATTATTGACCTAATTATTGATCGATTTTATATACCTAAACTTATAAATTATGCGCTTAATCAAAGCGTTTGTTAAAACTTGATAAAATTTTATAAGATTTCGTCACACTTGAATAAATTTATTTAACTGTAAATTATAAATAATGAACTATTGAAAATAACAAACATCTTAACAAATTCAGATGACAATTGAAATTTTCTTAATTACAAATAAAATTTGCATTAAGCATTGCGTATACACTTCAAATTGTTCGAAATATGGTCCAGAAACTCATCAGTGGTGACGTAGTGTTCACGTTTGAGGCTTGAATGATGGATAAGAAATGATGTTAATATTGCATTAAAAAAGTGCATTTGTCAAACATATAACTTACTTGCTGCCATGGAGTGACAATGCAAGGTCCTTTGTCATTTTACCGCTACCATCTACGGTTTCAATGCACGCTCTCTCCAAATCTTGAGAAAATTTTAATAGCTCTTGATGGCCATCCAATGTTGCTCTATGTGCTAGACCACGTGTCCAGGCAAATATCGATGCAATTGGATTTGTAGACGTTTCTTTGCCCTAATTTAAAAAGGATTGAAATACTATTAAAAGTTTGCAAATAATGTAGTAATTTATTAAATTTATTAAAAACTTACTTGCTGATGTTGGCGATAATGCCTTGTTACCGTACCTATAAAAAGTTCAATTAAATATGCATTTTGTATTAAATATTTGTTACATAAACTCCATACCATGAGCGGCCTCTGCTTCCATAGTCTTGCCATCAGGTGTAACTAGCACGCTGGTCATTAAACCCAATGACCCATATCCTAGATTGTAAAATGTGATCTATATATTATTATGCCCTGTAAAGTTGAAAGAAATAACCATTCATGAATCCGTTAATACCTTGGGCCAAAATATCGGACTATATGATTATTTTCTCAATAATAAGTTATCATATTAACAATTCAAATACAAATAATTCAATTTGTTAAATCATACCTGTACATCACTAATGAATTTATATAGTATTAAAATTGGTACAATATTATGATCAAATATTTTAAAAGATGGTCTAAATTTGGTGTCATTACCCGTCATAATTCTTGGTCGCCCATACAAATCCACCGCTTGATTTAAGAGCTTGAGCGACCATGTCATCTATGAGTCTATGCTCATACCATATATTCTTTGCTTCAAATTTGCCTTTATAATCCCTTTCAAATATTTCTTGAAAAATATCTTTAAATCGTCCGTCATACTTTTTCAAAATAGTATTTTTGGTACTTAAATACTAAATTTAAAAATATATTAAACTAATTTTCGTAGCTTGACAACGTTATACACGAAAAAATAATTATCTATTACCAAAGGCATTTCCACTTTCAAGGCCATTTGAAAACTGCTATGAGCAAAACCTGTGATAGACTAAAATTAAAAAATAAATCATATTTATAATCAATATGTAATTAAATTCTATACACTATCTATAAGTAAATGCAAATACCTCATCAGTGTTGAACATAGCCATGGAAACTCCAGGAGACTAGATACGTTTTTTAATTAATATGCATACGCATTTTTAACTAAAGAAAAAAATATATATATAAATGTACCAAGAATTCATATACTAATTCACTCTGTTGGTTGGTATCATCACTGGGTTCGAAAAGCAGTTTAAGTTTACCAGGGCGATCGATAATTATTTCTGTAGCTCTATACTATTAACAATTTAATTGATTTAATTGGAATATGAGAAATTAAATAAATTAGATCAGCATTGTACTAAACCTGATCTCCGAATGCATGTCTTCCAATAATTATGGGTTTAGTCCAGTTGGGAACTACACGCGGAACACTCTTCAATAGAATTGGCTCACTAGTAAAATAATCAATATTTCAATTAAACAAGTAATCAAGATTAGATTGTAAAATGTTTGCTGACCGAAATACGACGCCATTCAGGATATTACGAATTGTTCCATTTGGAGATCTCCACATTTTTTTAAGGTTGAATTCTATAAAAAAAATTCCTCTTAATGACAAAATTAATAAATGACAAATTGGATATTGATTAAATATCATGCTAACCTTTAACTCTCTGTTCATCTGGTGTGATTGTTGCGCACTTTATGCCTACATTATATTTCTTGATCGCCTCAGCAGCATCTATGGTCACTTGATCATTGGTCTAGTGAAAAGAATATATATATATATAAGACCAAATAAACTCTTCGAGTAAGCAAAAAAAAAAATTATATTACGGCGTCACGGTTTTGAATTCCTAAATCATAATATTTGATTTCAAGTTGGACATATGGGAAAATCAACTACAAAAACATAATGAATTTTAAAGTTTACTTTTTTATTTGTTAATAATTTTATATTAAAATTTGTGGACTTTTTACGTTATTCTTGATCTTGTCCCAAATTATACGAGTCATTTCGTCTCCATCTAAATCCACCACTGGGTTCTTGACAATGATACGCGAATTTTGTGAGCCCTGTGCATCTGAAAATATATTGTGAAATTACTTGGTACACGACGAATCTGACACTTTAAACGACTTTAAATGCCAAATTTATATCAAAGAAGCATACAATGTCGCTTCTTTATAGCTATTGGGCCAAAATTTTTTTCTGCTACAACAGTAAATTTAAAATGTTTGGCTTTTAAAAATAGGCGATACATTATAGATAGACCTGACTTGTTTTTTTTTTTTCTAAACCGATATTGATAATCTACTGTCACGTTACTAGAATGTCATGCAATAACTGATAATTTGATCGATCGATTGATCGATCTGTTTTTTCGTGTCATAAAAACAATGACACCTTTTAGTCTGTCACGTTTTTTTAATACAAGTGTATCTTTAAGGACTTTATCCAATTTTAAGTTATCACATAGATGTTTTGGTATAAAACGATATGCTAGTACCACTGCTATATCATCTGAAAATTCAGCGCCAAAAGTTGATCCCGACGATTTGGTATGTCGTCATGTGTCGTCATGAATACAACATAATGTAATGTTTTTTTTGTTTTCAGTAAAAGCATAAATACATGAAGTAATATCTTTATCCTACTGATATTAGCTTCGTCTTCAACGATTACGCAATATTGGTATCAGCGCCCACATCGATTCCGGGAAAACAACATTAACTGAGAGAATTCTCTATTATACTGGACGAATAAAGTAAATTCAATTGAATAAAATCAATTTCTTAACTAATATAAATGTTTAATTAGTCAAATATTTTAATAATTAGAGCGATTCATGAGGTCCGCGGAAAAGATGGTGAAGGTGCTAAAATGGATAGTATGGAGTTGGAACGTGAACGAGGAATAACTATCCAATCTGCCGCTACATATTGTAATTGGAATTGGAAAGATCATGGAGACTATAATATCAATATCATTGATACTCCAGGTTAGATATAATATTTAATGCTCATATAATGTATAGTATAAACTAAATTATTTTAATCCATTGTCTTGGAAAGGCCATGTTGACTTTACAATTGAAGTTGAACGCGCTCTTAGAGTCCTTGATGGTGCCGTGTTAGTTTTATGTGGCGTTTCTGGAGTCCAGGTATGTTTCTACATATCACAATTATCGCGTCTTATCTAAAGATTATCAAATTATATCGTTAAAATTTCATCTAGCATTTCAATGCACGTGTGATTATATTATTAGAGTCAAACTATTACCGTAGATCGTCAAATGCGTCGATACAATGTTCCTCGTATATCTTTCATTAACAAATTGGATCGGTACGTTTATTGAAATTTTAAATTATGAAACTTTTCATTTATTTACGCGTTTATATTACTTAGTATTGGAGCAAATCCTTTTAATGTCATTGAGCAAATTCGACAAAAACTAAAAATTACTGCCGCTGCCGTGCAAATTCCTATTGGACTCGAAGACGACTTAAAAGGTGTCGTCGATTTAATCAAATGGAAGGCTGTTTATAATGAAGGCAATCGTGGGTAAGTACGAACAATACTAATATATATTGCACAATTATTGACTTCTCATGGTTAATTCCTGTTTACATACAGTGATAAGGTTATTGAAAAAGAAATCCCAGAAGAACTTATTAAACTGGCAACCTTGAAAAAGCAAGAATTAATAGAAAACCTTGCTGATGTAGATGATCAAATTGCTGAAATATTTTTAATGGAAGAAACACCCACCTCGGAGCAGTTAATGGTGTGTAAACTTAACAAACTTGTTTCAGTAACACTTGATATATAATATAACAAGCTTTCTTACGTGAATGATTAAATAACGTTGAGATTTAGGATGCTATTCGACGCGCAACTATTGCGAATAAGTTTACACCTGTTCTTATGGGATCAGCTTATAAAAATACTGGCGTACAACGCGTGCTAGATGCCGCATGCGCGTTCCTTCCTAATCCAGCCGAGGTGCATAATATTGCTTTAGATATTAATCGCAAGGAAGCTCGAGTTGATCTAATTCCATACTCGAAAAACAATTTTGTTGGTTTGGCGTTTAAATTGGAAGAAGGAAAATATGGACAGTTAACGTATATTAGAGTCTATCAAGGAGCTTTAAAAAAAGGCTCTTCTATCACAAATTCTAGAACTTCAAAGAAAGTCAAAGTGCCAAGACTAGTTCGAATGCATTCAAACGAGATGGAGGTATTATTTTATTTATTACATATTTTTATTTTATTTCAGGTACATGTTACTAATATCATATTTAGGATGTTGATGAAGTTGGTGCTGGTGAAATCTGTGCTGTGTTTGGCGTTGAATGTTCTTCGGGAGATACATTCACTGATGGATCTCTGTCTTATACAATGGTATGTTTTTCATTAATCTTAATAAAAAGAAGTGACGAGTAATTTGTCAACCAAAACAGAAAATGGAATGGCTTGACTATATAATTATGCAACGAGTTAACGAGTTTTAATATTTCATCATATTTACTGTTTCAATAGACAACCATTTTTATTCTGAAAATATCTGAAAAATTTTTCTATTTTTTTTTAATTTGTAGACATCTATGTTTGTCCCAGACCCGGTAATTTCTTTATCGATCACGCCGAAAGCCAAAGACTCTTCAAATTTTTCAAAGGCCCTAAATAAATTTCAGAAGGAAGATCCTACCTTTCGTGTTGCATATGACTTAGAAAGTAAAGAAACTATTATCTCTGGAATGGGCGAATTGCATCTAGACATTTATGTTGAACGTATGAAAAGAGAATATAATGTTGATTGCATAACAGGCAAACCTCAAGTGGCTTTCAGAGAAACCATAACATCAACGGCTAAATTTGATTATACGCACAAAAAACAAACTGGTGGAGCTGGTCAATTTGGTAAAGTAATAGGATATATTGAACCATTAAAGGAGGTAACGGATGAAGATGAAGAACCACTTCCAATGTTTGAAAGCCGAGTTGTTGGTGGACATATTCCTTCAAATTTTATTCCGGCTGTCGAAAAGGTATTTATTATCAATAGGCCAATAAATTACATTTATTGTATTGACAACTTCAGTTTAATCTAATAGGGTTTCCAAGACGGTCTAGAAAAAGGTTCTTTAATCGGTCATCCAATTAAAAATGTTCGTTTTGTCCTTGAAGATGGAGCCTATCACGCTGTAGATTCCTCAGAACTTGCATTTCGTCTTGCAGCATTGTACGCATTTAGAGACGCATTTATGAAGGCCAATCCCGTCATCCTGGAACCTATAATGAATGTATCTGTTACTACACCAGTTGAATTTCAAGGGACTGTCATCGCCAATTTAAACAAACGAAAAGGTACCATTCTTGATACAGAGGTCCAAGAAGATCATTTTGTTGTGACTGCAGAGGTTTCTTTAAATAATATGTTTGGATATTCATCAGACTTAAGAAGTGCTACACAGGTAAATTTTAACTATGTTCTCAAGATTTATATTCAATTATGGTGAAATTTTATTTATTATAATTTTAAAACTAAAACATAGGGCAAAGGTGAATTTACAATGGAATACAAAACACATCAACCTGTTCTACCTTATGTTCAAGAAGAATTAATTAATGAATATAAAAAGAAGAAATTAGCAGAAAAAAAATAGATTAATTAGATTGTTAATAGAAAAAAACCATCTACGTATTAAAAAAATTGGCATAATTTTAGATAATAAAATTTGAGATTTACTAAAAGTCACACGATTTGTCACGCAGGTTATGTGTAAAATTTTAATATGGGGTCAAATGACTGATGCACCTAAATGTTTTACATGTAAAAATCCAGGAAAATTTTACTTTCTGAATTTATTTAATCATAAAGAAGTTGTTGGCATAATTTCTGGGTATCATTTTGCAAATTCTCTAGCATTCTAAGGTTCTTGTAAAATTTTAAAGGTGTTCAATAATATAATTAAGAACCTTCGTCACGAAATTGGTCAATTTTCACTATTTGTTTATATAAATATGGAAATCCGCTAGGGCTATAGTTGGGACGAAATTTTTTCAACAATTTCAACAAAACTTTCATCATTAAGTCATCGGTAAATCGCAATCCACGAGGGCTGGTGCGCCTGGTCCAGTCCCTAAAAAGAACTAATTCACCCCCGTCAAAAACAAGTCCTACCCTAAGCAGTTTACTATAGATTTTATAATACTTTTACTACAAACTTTACCATTATTGATCCCAATTAGCGAATTTATTTAAAATACCATCACTCGTTATAGATTACATTTTTATCGAATTTTATTTAATGTGCCAAAAATGATACTATTCATATCGAATACCCTTATAATACCCTTATGTCGAGAAAATCCGGGCATGAAGATCGTTGAAGATCACTTCTGATCCAATAAAATCACAGGATCTCGTGTAACAAAACAAACGCGAAAAACATAAGAAAAACGTAATTAACACAAAAATTTACTATGATGACTAACTTCCGACCTCTCAGTAAAAGTTTTCAGAATGAAATTTTACTTGTAAGACACGATTGTTAATGTTAGATACATAGAGAATTTTTGATATACTACGACCCATATCTTTTTGGCCGGCAGCTCTGACATAATCATGCGAGAGCTGGGCTGACTAGTCCCCCAGTCCGAACTAATTTCCTGTGGACCTAACTGTAGTGATCGTACCCTAAGATAGAATAACCGGTTAGCCGTTAGGTTATCCGGATTATAAAATTGATTAACGGGTTAATTAAGATATCCGGTTAACTTATCCGGTTATCTGGTTAAAAGACTATTCCCCAGTTCTTATTTATACTTCTATACTATCTTTTTACGCTTATTGCTCAGATTTCAGTTTCGGATTGATCCAGAGTTTTTATATATCCTTTTGATATATCTTTTTATTTTTATTTTTTTACTTTTTTTAATGATATAGGAAATTTTAAACTATTAATGTTAACGTTACTAACGAAAGGTAAAAGTTGTTGGCTAAAAAAAAAAAAAGAGAGAAAATAGTGAAAGAAAACGTTATAATTGTAATAAAACTAAACATCATAAAATACGCAACTTCAATTCGAAAAGATAATATTATTATCCACAAAGTAGACAATAACACGGTATTACGAATAGTAGTGGTGTATGGTTTAGTAAAGTAGTAGAGTACTTTAAAAATCGCATTTGAGCATATAAAATTAGCATACTATACTCATAATATATTATATATAAAATAGTCTGGAAGAACACTATCGGCTATAGCTGGAAAGACATAAATTACACTAATATTTTCCATCATATGAAGGTCTAAAAAAGGCATCGTTGAAAGAATGTTATTATTTGGAGGTCTAAAAAGAGCATCTTTTTGATTATCGGCTGTGACCTGAAAGAACATAAATTGCATGAATGCTCGCCATCATTCGAAGGTCTAAAAAAAGCATCTTTTTGATATCAGCTATGATCTAAAAGAACACTAAGAACACTACATAAATTACACTAATGTTTGTCGTTATTTGAAGGTTTAAAAAGCATTTATGTAATATTTGTTGAACTTTGGCATTCTTTGAAACTGATTTAAAAAAAAAAGATTCAGAATGCTGTACTATATAAATGTCTTTGTAAAGGAATGTAAATTAATATTCTTGTGGTTTGTACAATTTAGTTCAAAAATTACAAGTTTTGACGTCAAATATCTCCAAATATACTCATACTTATGTTAATTATTAAATATTTTATCAAGTCATTACATTCTTCAAACAACTGCAAAAATTGCAATTAATTGGCTATCAATTAATTGGGGTTCAAATAGTTGCAATAATTATTCAGTAGGAAGAAAAACTTGATTAATAAATAATAATCTTAAAAACCCGTAACTAGATTTATAAACGATTCTCTCTTCAATCATGAACCAAATTAACACAAATAAATAATTAAAACGAAGCTATAGAAGGTTGCAGAGTTCTAAAAATATACTCACGAGTTAAATAATAATAAAAAACCAGTACCCAAATACAGCTCACCTTTGTAAAGTGAACTCTTGATGTAATAGAATTAATTATAGAATATTTTCGAGCCTATAGGTTTCACTATAGTGTGAATATATTGTTTTCTTGTTTATCTACATATGAGACACTTTTTTTTTTTGTCGACATATGAAGAACAGCATATGTATCAGGGACGGTGAATACTTCCATTCCATTTTATTCCGATATAAATTGACAAATCAGGATCTAGCGCTAGATACAAGTTTTGATTGGTCAATTGATATTGGAATGGTCACCGTCCCTGATATGTAGAGTTAATTTTCGTATAATGAACTGACAGTTCTTATAATAAAATTTTTATGTTCCTTATATAAGTAGTTTACTATTTCCGATGCCAGGCTCTAATAAATATTTTTTAAAAATGTTTATTATACTGTTATAGAGCATAGATGCGTTCATTATAAAAAGGTGAGTTTCAAGAATAACTGCGCCCTCCATTAGTGATTTACTGCCTCGATTTTATAAGTTTTTAAAGCCTAAAGTCTAGTTTTCTCTAACTTTATGTTTGTATAAATTTTATATACATTAGCATATTATACATAATATATTACTTTATACTTAGTTGTGACCTAATCATCCATAATCACGTGTTTGCTAATTTAATGTATTTACTACTGTACTATGATGCGAACAGTTTAAAGACATCAAATTTATTACTAATTTTTTTAAATTGTATCTTCTCAACAATAAGCAACAAAATCTTAAAAAAAAATATGTATTTTAATAGCTTTTAATGAGGTCTATCAAACTACGTATTTTGTTTAAGATTTTTTTGATTTTTTTGCTTATTATTGAGAAGATACAATTTTAAATTTATAAGGCTTTAAAATTTTCAGCATTATAATAGAAATAATTTTTTTAAATAAATTTAGCCAATTAAATTGCATTATTATCATGTAATAAACATTGTTACACTATAATTCTGTAATGCTATTGGCCAATTATGGTTACACTGCATACTAAAAATTCGGCAGTGGCTTAGCATTTGATGTCTTTAAACCATTTGCACCATATTCGTACTGTACTATTCGTATTACTCACATATTTTTATATCTTAATAATAAACTGTATATAATAGTAAAATCTAATTGCGACTAGTAGTTTTATTAAAACTACTAGTCGCTAGGGTATAAACCCGGTTATTAGGTTTTATTAAAGGTTATATCCTTTCGGGTAAAAAGATTAACCGGGTACAAACTGTGGATCACTTAACATCCCTAACGGGTCACGTGTAATTGTCGATCATTTCCGACCCGAAATTCTTGACACGTGTAATTATATGATTGGCTGATCGAATACAGATTTCTGAGACGTATATAATGAATTAAACAGTAAGTATTCATAACGTTTTAAATATTTAATAAAATTCTTAATACTTAAAGACTAAAATGAAATTGTATTATCTTGGAATTATTATCTTTGGGTGATATTTAGAATATTAGTTTTAAAAAGTCAATAATAAATTAAAAAAAGCATTAACGTTAAAAAAAAAGATATTTTATCCCCTGGCCAACCCATCTACGTAACTTTCTTCGTGTACTTACTACATTTATCTATTTAATTTAGGTATTTAATCTTAAATGTCAAAAACAATGAATCGAATAAAAGGTTTTGCTCTAAAATAAGCACATGAAAGTTTATGTTAGATAACAGGGGACAAATCAGCTATATCCTATGTAGTTGGATTTAAGAGAAATTTTGCATTAAGTATAATTGGCCGCTTACGTGGCCGATTAGACTTACTGCAAAATTTAATTTATGCCTAACTGTCCAGGATATGACTATTACATACCTTCTGATCCAAAATTACTCGTTTTATTAAGGTAATTCTCTTTTGAATAAATTATACTTTAAACAAAAAAGTGATTATTTTAAAGTTCGCTAAGACATTAAGTTAGAGTAAATAGTTTTGAAATTTACTCAAATATTCAAAAGCTGTAAGCAAAGCTCTAGTCAAAGAAAAAGTAATCTATATCAATTTAATAAAGTTTTTGCACAATTTATGTTTATTTATAAATAAAAAGATCAATTTATAGTAAAATGATCTTATTGAAGATACTCTTTTTTTAATCGTCTTAGATGCCTTGTTAGAGTATTAAAAAAAGGTTTAAAAAAAGCTGCAAGAATAAACTAAATCGCAAAAACTAGTGAACAAATAATTAGATACTCAAAATTATTCAAATTAGCTAGAAAACAGATATTGCAATATCGATAAAACAAGAAAATTTTTTTGATCTTTATTTAAACACAGAACATAGGACATGTCCTGTGCAAATAAAATAAAAGGAATATCCACCCATTTATTATTACTTGTTTTTCAAAGTATCCCGATTTTCTTCATGTGTACATAATATATAACTCAACAATTTATTAGTACATGTCCCACTAAACCTACATCACCTCGCGAACATGTGTAATTTCGAATATATCCTTTTTCGTTGCTCGAACTATATAAACATTTCCAATTCATTGCTTGTTCCTTGCCAATAATTCGAACGCAGAAACGTGGTGATGTCACTAGCAACTTGTTGTTTTTCAACAGGGGGAATGTCGATAAGATGGAAAATAGTGTTGGACGGGATACCAGCGTTAACGATTCCAACGTTAAGGTTTTGGTTGATAACTTGAAGTGGGGATACCCCGATAAATCCTTGAATTTCTGACCCAAAATAAGAGTTAGAAATGCAATCAAATAGCATCTTAATTATTTTCTGAACATACGATTGGCCACGGTCGCCTTTAGGATCCCGCGTCGTTGTAAATTCTGTTCGTTCCATTCAATGATTAGTAATATCAGGTCTAGATAACAATCCTCGTCTTCGGTTTGCAACTCTTGCTTTGCTTTCGCAAACTGCTCAGTAATAACTTGTTTGGTTGCGAGCGTAAAGCGATCTAGGGCCTGTGACATCTTGTGTCTGAAAAAATACCTTCTACGGTACAGCAGTAGAAAAAGGGGTAATTTACCTTTATAGGTGTTATTACATTATTTGTCATACAAGATAAAAATGTGAAATAATATAAGTACAATATTTCTGTATTGGATTAGCGCATTTCTTCTCGAATGCTCCATAATGGTTGATGTCACGCGAATTTTTGTTACATGTAATTATCGTGACGGATTAAAATAAAATGAAATGAGTGATAGTGTCAAATGGATAGATAAGCCACCGAAAAATACAAATTTTTGAGGTGCATTTTTTTAACATGTTTTAGGGTTACGATTAGTGTTTAGGGGTAGAATTTATAATAAACAAGTATAGGTGGGTTTTAGGAGGTCAACATTTATCGTAATAATTCGTTAATAGATTATAGATTATTAACTAGGCGCTTGAGTTGCTTAAAGTGAGTTAGTAACGAGTGTAATATATTGTATCGTGTTAGTGCATTATATAACAGATTTTGATAAAACATTTGTGCATTTATATTTAAATTATCAGATCTTGAAAAAATATACTATATGGGTGAATGCTCTATTTCTGTTAATAACAAATTTATTATTATTTATTATATCTACAATAAGAGGTATAAATATTTAAGTTTATCAAAATTATATTAGCAATTAAAAAAAGGTCCATCAGGAGTTTTCATTCACTTGGTACTTAATGCCTTTTAATTATCACTTACTGGATTTAAATCACACATCATATGTAAGTAGTCCATGGATGGACAAAGTAATTTTAGTAGTAATAATGACTTATAATTATGCTTTACTTGATAATGGTGATTATTACATTCTATTATTTATTGCATACAGATTTAATCACATGACAACGGTCATTAAGCGGAAAAATAAGTATTATTTATTGCCAAAAAATCTGGCTGTCGCAGGCAGTGCAAAAATTTCATGTTGGTGATTAAGCTTCGCAACTATGATAGAAGTACAAGGACCTCATCTCGCGAGAAGGCTCCATGGCCACGATAGAAGCGCAAGTATCTCGTGTTGTAATTAGGCTCTATTGCTGCCGCAGTGCAAGAAATTCATGTGGTCCCGCTTGTTTCACCGACGCTCAATTCACAGACAAAGTAACTATACCAGAATTATGTTAGGGTTAGTGCAAGCTATAAACTTTTCGGTGAATTGATTGTCGGTGAATTAAGTGTCGGTGAAATGAACATGTCGGTGGATTGATTGTCGGTGAAGTATTGTGTCTACGAAATGAATGTCGGTAGATCCCCCCGACAACATTTTGCCGAAAACACTTTGGCGACATGTTTTATTTCACCGACGCTTATTAACGTCATTTGTCGAAGCTCATTTCTTCAACAAAATAATTCTGCTCATTGTCAGGTTGAAATTAGAGTCAATATTAATGTTATTTATAAAAAAAAAAATTTGTCTGTGAAATGAGCTTCGGTAAATAAGCTGTCAGTGAAATGAACTTGTTGAAATAAGTGTCGGTGAAATAAAACATGGCGAATTTTTTTCGGTAAAATGTTATGCCTGCGAATTGATTTTCAGTGAAATGATACGAATCCATAACTGGTCGCTTTGCTGACAGTTTAATTATCAAAATATGTATTATATGTATGTATAATATATATGTATGCATATAAGTGACGGTCAGTGAAAACCTGTAAATCGATTCACTATCAAGAAACGACCCCTGATGAATCTGACCGTAAAAATAAATTAAATGTGATAAATACACAATTCTAACCGTCCTAGTCGCTTCTATTACACATCTTATTTTGCAAAACGCTTCTATCAAACCATTGCTAAGTTAAAAATAATAACATGTGTAATATTCGATCATATTTCATCAGGGGTCGTTTCTGGTTAGTGAATCTATTTACAGGTTTTTACAGACCATCACTCATATATATTAAAAGAATGATCATAATTGTCCTGTGTTTGTCTTACATTTGTCCCAGAAGTTGTGTCATAGTTGTTTCATAGTTCTATAGGTTACTCACTTATTTTATACTGTCCCACTAATTCTTTGTTAATTTATATTAGTATATATAAAAACAAAATCTTGTAGTTATCTTATTAATTTTTAATTAATTTATATTAATATATAAAAATAAAATCACATAGTTGTTTTGTAGTTATTTCATAGGTTTCTCATAGTTTTCCCATAATTATAATTTTCTACAGTTTTACCATAATTATTTTACATTATCCCATTAATTATGCATTGAATTAAATAGTAAATACACAATGACATATTTTAAATGCTTATATTAACAAAGGCACTTTATACTTAATGCATTAAATTAACACAAATAAAATAGAAATAAATGCATACTAGTAAACTGGCACGTCCTTATGTCCTTGCCTAAAATAAATAAATAGTTTATAGGTATTAGTTTATATAAGGACAAAGAATAAACAGGCAGAATTATATATCAGTAAACTTAAGCATTAACCTTTATTAATTATATATCTGAATAAAATTTAGTTTTAATTATTACAGTTCTAATAATTATATTCTGGATGATTGGGTATGTATAAGCGAAAATACATATCAGCTGCTTAAACAGCCGATGTTAGTTGTACATTTCCTGTAAATTTTCACATATACCTAATAAATCCGGTGTACCTGATTTATTCTCTGCCATGCATGTAACATATAATTGTTAAAGTTTTTGTTAATAAAACGTTCTCGGTAATACAAATATATGAATAAAAATTGTCCAATCAGATTAATTATAAATCGGACGGTTACACGAATGTTAGAATTTTAGTAGGTACTGTTGTTGTAGGTAAACGCGACCCTTAGGACTAGGGTTCTGCAAGTAGACATGCCGGGCACAATTGGCACTATGCCAGGCACTGTGGGCACTATGCCGGGCAAAATACTAGTGCCCAAATGCCTACCATAATTTTTGTTATGCCCGAACAGTGCCAGTGCTTGTATTATAATATATTTAATTAGCTAATTTAGATCGATCTGAGTACGTATTCACGACACTTTACACTTTACCATTTATTTTAAACCTTAATCTTATTCTTTTTTTTTCTTTACTAGAATATACTATCTTTTATCTAATTATTAATATATCATATTTGTCTATCTATATAACCAAGCCATTTAACAAAAATTTGAAACTTATATTAAAATTATATCAATTTCATAATTTTATTTTGCTATTTCTAATTTGTTTTTATATATAAAAAATTATAAAAATCGAATGCTATAATATTGCTTAAATTGATAATAATAAAATCAAATTTATTGTTGGTCTCTGAATTAATCTTTCTAATTATTACATAAAAATTATATAATTGCCTTTATTAAGTCATATCTCGTTCATCATATTGGCCTGTGCTAGTTATGTAATTTCTATTACAAAATTAAGATGAGTGACTTAAAGAAAAAATCAGATATCGGGTTTTTATTATATTATTTATTAGTAAGCAATAAATAATAAACTTAAATGTCCAATATTCAATTTTCTCTTGCGTCATTTATGTAAAAGAAAGAATATTGTAATTAACAATGGATTATTTTTCAAAATTTTATGCCAAAAGTCAATAGTATTACATATTATATTAAATTTTTTTCAAATAAAAGGACATACTAGTTCTTTATATTTTTATACTTATCTTTATATTTCAACTTGTGTTTCATTAATGAAAGATTTAACATCAACCTATCTGGATAATTCTACTTCAAGTAACTTATTAGACAATAATATAACAGAATCAAGTACCAATACTGAATATATTATATCAAAATATTGGAATGAAGTATTGCATGAAGATAAACTTATTCATCAATGCAAGAATTGCAAGAAGCTGCAATTTTCAATTAATACAAGCAAATCATATTTAAAAAAACATACTGCTAAATATACAACTCAAAATATAAAATTTAACTTTATTAAACCCATTACAAAAGAGGATGTAGATAATTCTATAATTGATCTAGTTGTTGGTACTAGAATTTTTTTTAATATTCTAAATAATTTATTATTTTATAGAATGGTAAATAAGCTTCATTATGTAACTAATACATATAAAGTTTCTCATCTAACAACAATATCCCGTCACTTTTCAGGAAGCATTTATGAAATTAGATTTAATTTTATTAAAGATATTATGACAAAAATGCCAGGTCAAATTTTATTAACATGTGATGGCTAGCATTCAACAGTCCATCGATGTCACTATACTGCTGTTACAGGTTCTTGGATAAGTGATAACTGGAATATTATTAATATTTTACTAAGTTTTCAAAAATCTGGTCAGACAGTAAAAGATATTAAATCAGTAATAATCAATACTTTAAATAATTATAATATTAAAGATAAGTTTTTTTCAATTATCATGGATAACACAACAACAAATAAAGCAGTTGTTTGGTTACTTCAAAAAGAGTTACCTAATATAGATCTTATATCTATTAGATGTATGTGTCACATACTTAATCTCATTGTAAGTGCAGAAATGATGGAAATTAATATACTTTGACAAAAAGTTCATAAAATTATGAAGTATTTAGCAAATCCACTAGCTAATGGGCATATTGAATTGATAGAGTCATATTGTAAAGTTATTGGAATAGATTTTTTATGACCAATTTTAGAAATTGAAACTCATTGGAACTCAGTTTTAGATATGTTTAAAAGATATATTATATTACATCTAGCAATTAAAGAAATGCAATTAAAAGAAACATCAATGCCATCTTGTTTGGAAATAGACAAATTATTGGAACTAGAATTAACTTGTAAAATTCTTAAGTCATTTGCAATTGCAACGACAATTCTTTCAAAAGATCAGTCGAATTCGATTTCAGATACATTAATAATAATACTAGAAATTGAACAGCATATTAATAATATTAAATATAATAGCAATGCTATAAATTTAATGAAAAAAAAATTTCAAAAATATTGGAGTAAAATATCAGACTATGTTTTAATCACTCATATTCTTGATCCACGATACAAAATGGAACATTTAAAAGCAACTCTATTAGAAATTGGTGGATATTCAGAAAGTAAAACTGAGCAATATATTAATAATATTTGATAAAAAATACTTTCATATGAAACAAATTACACAAGTTTAAATTCTTCAATTTTGGAAATAGAATATGAAGATTATATAAAACATGATAAATTTTTTCCTAAAAGGTGAATTGCAAAAAAACATTGTATTAATACTCTTGAATATGAGTTGAATTTATATGAGCGAGAACCTCTTGAAAACTTTGAAAATGAAAGCAATGAAATAGAAACTAATGTGAAAAATAGTGGACTATATAGTTGGAAATTATTATCAAACTGATTTCCTATACTTAGTCAGATAGCCTGTGACTTTCTTAGTATCCAACCTTCTAGTGTTGCTAGTGAACAAGCTTTTTCTCATGCTGGCTTTACAGTTACAAAGGATAAAGCTAATCTTAATGAAAACACAGTATCTAGCACAATACTTATGCATTCATGGTTAAAAGAAAGTCAAAAAAAATCTAGTCCACTTGAAAATTTGTCTGAAACAAAATAATATTTTATTATATTATTTTTTTAAAGGTTTATATAAAAAACAATATTATTGTTTTGCATAATTTATATATGTATAATAATGTAAATGTTACAAACTTGTTAAATTATATATAAACTTTTATATTATAATATGTATCGTATATACATACAAATATTATTTTAATTAATTAACAAATTGTATAAATTTTAACATGCCTGGCATTGTTGGCACCATGCCAAGTACTAATCTATTTGTGCCAGTGCCTATATAAGACCTATTTATATTGTGCCCATGCCCTTAAATTTAAGTAAAGTTATGTCTGTACCTTATATACCCATTTTTGCACCAGCATATACCAGGTTTGCAGAACTCTAATGTAGACTATCTGATCAAGTATACTTAAACTCCAATACATGCCCATCTCTTGGCTATGCTATTAGAAAAATCAACATATAGACTATTCTTTAAATTAAATACAATATTTCATTTAACTATATTTTAACTATCCAAATTTAGGTGAGTCTTGAGCATTCTAGTAGGTTTAGATCACGGATAAATATGTCTGAGCTTTATTCTTGAATGTAGTTTTCTTCTTATTTGTATTTAAGTTAGTTATATATAGTTAGCAGTTAAAAAAATTAAAAAAAAACTCTCTTCTGTAGATCCTAATTTACTAAGAAAATAAAAAATTAGATATATACAACAAAGAAACAAGTAAAGAAAACCAAATAACTATACAGCAAAGCTCATATTGAGCCTAATAGTAGTACCTGGCAACTAAACATAAATATATCAACAACAAATATAGCAAAGATTAAGAGGAAAAGAGACAAAATGACTACTTATATAACTGAAAACAATACACAATGGCTTCAAGGCTTTACATTTAAGTTTTTCTTTCAGACTTAGTTACAACTATCAATGAATAACAAAACAACAAGTAATTGCCAAAAGGCAAGACCAACAATAGACCAGACAAGACCTATACTGACTAAGCAACAAAAAAAAGATGTACACTTCTTTCTAAAGCAAAAAATAATACAAAAAGTAGGCAATTGAGTATATTCTGTTAGAAATGCAATGATATCATCCTATACTAATAACAACAACAACAAACCAGTTAAAACAGGTTCTAAAAATACAAATGCAAATATGACAGGCAACAATAATAAGCAAATAATTATTTTTCACAATAGCATGCCTTATATTATCATAAATAGTAATAACAACATGCTAATAGAAACAGATATAGACTTAACTGCTTAAAAGAATAGTAAAATAACTACCCAAAATGTAGAAAATGCCCAAACAACAACTAGCCAAAATGCCATACCTGATAATGAGAAAAACAACAACAAAATAGAAACAGAATCAGTAGATACAATAGCTAGTCACCAGATGGGACCCAGATACTGAACATATAGCCAACTAACAAACCAATATATCACAACAGAAGAAAGAATGCAAACTGATAATAAACAAGATTATACTCAATTATAAATAGATACCATTTAGCCAAACATCAGAAAAAATTGCATTGAACCCTTCGATACCAACAAATAGAACTACAATAAAATTATAGAATCACTTAAAGACAAACAAGGAATTACTGATTTTGTAATATACAAATTATAAACAAAATGTACTAACCATACAATTTATATTGCAATTAAAGTAAAATTCAGATATTTTGATACTGCATTCTTCCTCATCTTTACGAAAACAAAAAAATTTATGCCTTTACACCAGGTTGCCTATAAAGAATTGTTTAAGAAAGCATTAGCAACATACAAAAGCCTAAATGCAATTATTATTACAAACAAAGCAACAAGAGACATAATATACCAAAAACTTTGACAAAAAATCATAATAGATTTTATAACTAACAAAAACTTTAATACAGTGACTTCTAAGAAAGTTTATCAAATAATCAAATATTATAGAGGATTTATAAAAAAACTAGCACCTATTAAAGCAGAAGATATTTAAGAAGCAATCAAAACAGCATTTGCAACACTACTAAAACCTTTTCCTTCAGATTCTAAACAAATATCAGAAAACATCTTACAAATGCTGCCATTTAAGTTACCAATTAGTCAGTATGCATATACAAAAGCCATTGCCACTCTACTACACAAAATCTTTCACTTTGACTGACTGCCAGAGGAATATTTTATTAAACTAGAACCCTTGCCAACAGAAATATCAAAACTGAACCCAGCAGTAAAAGGCCTATTTTCAATCATAAGCTGAAGCATACTACAAAATCTAGCATTTTACAGAAAAAGACTATAGGACTGGTATAACTGCATAACTATTTCATCAAACTACTTTAACCTTCCACCTTCAAGACAACCACTTCTGCTAGCTTACCAAAACCTAAGCAGCAAATATAAACTTCACTTTCCTATCGATATGCAAGACCCAAATACAGACTTACCAAACTTAGTACAATAGTTAAGAGAAGATTACTACTTTAAAAACATCCTAAATAACTATTTCAAGGTTAAACCAGCATTTTCAAAAAATTTAGAAAAGATACAAATGCCAGCATCTTCACTTTTCTAATTCAAGATGCAATTGCAAAATGCTTTGTAGAACAGATCTCTCCTGTTTACAAATTCTCATTCCACTTCTATTAAACATCATGATAGCAAATTTTACTGATAAACTTTGGCTACCTGAGGACCTACAACAAATCAATGACTACAACATTACTACTCCTATAATCTCAAGGAAACAACTAGTAGATACAGCAAGAATGCTTAGAGAAAAATACTATTTTTATTGAATTTCAGAGACCTGTATACAAATAGAGGAATCTACTAACAAAGCTAACAAAGAAAATGCAATACCCAATACTAAACAACAACCTAATAAGCCAATCATTTCTAATACTCCATCAGCCATTATGGAACATCTAAAAACAAAAAATATAGATACAACATGTATAACAATCCTTATAACTAAACAAGCAAAAGTTAACACAACTCTTGAATGTTTTCAGCAACACTTTACTATTGAAACTATTCCAGATAAGATTCTCTCACTACCACCACTTCCAGCTCCTAACTGGAATATTTTTAAAACCATTCTTTCCTAATGACAAAATACAATTTAAACACATCTACTAATAGCAATGAGACTGCTATAATTATATCACAATCTGAAGAACAATTAAATAAACCAAACCTAATTGAACTCAATTTAAATGAAAAAATTAATATAGCCACATACAATGTTAGAAGAATTAATGACATATTGAAAATGCAAACATGGATCAAATACTGTGTAGAATCTAACCTGCACATAATTTCAATTACTGAAACTAAACTAAAAGGATCAACAACAAAATCACTAACTAATCCTTTATACAAAATTTACACTTCAAACTTTATACTATACAAATCGAACCAGCATAAAACCAGTTTGGAAACTGCACTAATGGTCTGTAACCAACTACAACTATATATCCACAAAATTAAAACCCTTCTAGGAACAGCAATATGCATTGACTTTTTCTTTTCTAACAACAACAAAACCCACATTATCTTGATTTATATTCTCTCAAACCACCCATCACTTTTCAAGAATATTCAATCTCAAATGCTTACTTGGATTATAGAGGCCAAAGCCAAAAACTGGCACTTAATTATATTAGATGACTTTAATGCTAACCAACACAGAACAGACAATTTCTAATTTTTACTGATCTAAATGCTGCAAGTCTAACAAGCCTCCACACTTTTCACAATATTCAAACACCTACCTGGCATAGTCCAACTAATACAAGTCAAATAGATGACATTTGGATTTCCTCTGATATACTGTTAGCATTTGAAACTCTGTTACTTATTAATGCTTTGCATATATCAGATAGTGATTACTGCATCCTATATACAACTTGGTATACCAACTTTACCTACAAAAAAATCTTAGAAACAAGAAAAAGAAAAGGAAAATATATTCCTTATATCTTTATAGCTCCAAAACTCTTTTTTGTGCTTTCTCTAAAAGCAACCAAACTCTATACAGCCTTAAAACATATTAATAAATATTTATACTACCTTTCTAACAATCCACTAAACAGCTTAACAAAAGCCAACCATCACTTGTCCAAAGCTGCTACCCTGGCAGAAATTGATATTTTATTAATTACACAAATACAATCAAATATCTCAGCCTCTGACATAATAGCACTAATAAAAGAGCATAAACATACAATTTGGCAAGCATATAACTTTGAAAAAAAAACAAGAACAAAGTGAATAAATTAAATTTTACACAAATCGAAGGTACTCAGACTTCAAAGACAATATAAGCCGAATGTTAGACAGCATTTTAAAAAGAAGAGTAGAACTAGTCAGTTTTGAAAAAATTATTTCACCAAACAAAATAATTACTAATAAAAATGAAATCAAAAAAGCCACATACCTACACTTTAAAAATTGGACAAAAAACTATCTTGCTAATAATAACAACTGGAAGGAATAGGAAACAACATATCTTCCATTCAGCAATATTAAAAACAACATCTACAACAACCTTCTCAACTCTATTACAATAACTGAACTTAAACAAACAATAAAAATAGCACCTAAAGAGAAAGCAACTGAACCACTAGAAATTTTAAATGAAGTTTTCTAACACTTACTTCTATTAGCCCTCTCTTATCTTTTAAATATATTTAACAATTGCTTAATACAAGAAATCATTCTGACCAATAGCTAAAAGCTAATATCTGGCCAATCCCAAAAAAACAAACTTACAACTATGAACTTAACTCTACTCATCCTATTACATTAATTGACTATACTAGAAAAATCTTTACAAAAATTTTAACAACCTGACTAACAAATATTTTAATGCACAACCAAGTACTATCTCTATATAACTTTGCAGCTTTCCCTCATTAATCTACATTATAGCCAATCTCACAACTTACGCAAACCCTAGAAGATGCAGTCACAAATAACAAAGAAATCTGGATCCTTTCTTAAGACATGTCAAATCCTTTGACT